GAGGCCCCCAGATGTACTTATTAACCCAATTACGACATCTGTGTTTGGAAAAAGCAGAGAAGAAGGGAGTGTGGCGAGAAGGAGAAGAGTTAGGGTCCATCCAAACAATGCAGCCACCATCGGGAGACCTGCATAGAAAGGTCCGCTGGTGGAAAATTCCTGCTACAGATGTGAGGGCAAGACTTTAAAGAATAAAATAGTAATAACTCAAAAATGAACCCATGCAGACAATGGAACAGAAAAAGAGGCCGGAAATATGGAGATCCAAGTATCTACTATCCCAATATATCAGGAGTAGTTTGCTGTTTTTAAAGATTTTATATATTTATTTGAAAGAGAGAGAGAATGAGCAGAGGAGGGGGCAGATATCTTTTTGAATCTTGCTTTCCTTTCTGTTGGATAATTGCTCAGAAGTGAAATTGCTGGGTCCTATGGTAGTTCTGCCTTTAAGTTTTGTTTTTTTTGGGGGGGGGGTTGATTTTTTTTTTTTTTTGTCTTTAAGCTTTTGATGACCCTCCATACTGCTTTCCATGGTAGTTTGCATTCCCACCAGTGCACGAGGGCTCCCTTCCCTCTACTTTTTTTTTTAATTTTTTAAAATTTCTTTTCAGTGTTCCAGAATTCGTTGTTTATGCACCACACCCAGTGCTCCATGCAGTACGTGCCCTCCAAAATACCCACCACCAGGCTCACCCAACCTCCCACCCCCCAAAACCCTCAGTTTGTTTCTTAGAGTCCATAGTCTCTCATAGTTCGTCTCCCCCTCCAATTTCCCCCAACTCTCTTCTCCTCTCCATCTCCCCATGTCCTCCGTGTTATTCCTTATGCTCCCCAAATAAGTGAGACCATATGATAATTGACTCTCTCTGCTTGACTTACTTCACTCAGCATAATCTCCTCCAGTCCCGTCCATGTTGATACAAAAGTTGGGTATTCATCCTTTCTGATGGAGGCATCATACTCCAAAACTGAATCAGGAAGAAATAGACAACCCAAATAGACCAATATCTAGTAACGAGATTGAAGCAGTGATCAAACACCTCCCCCAAAACAAGAACCCAGGACCTGACGGATTCCCTGGGGAATTCTTCCAAACATTAAAAGAAGAATCAATACCGATTTTCCTGAAGCTGTTTCAAAAAACTGAAGCAGAAGGAAAACTTCCAGACTCTTTCTATGAAGCCAGCATTACCCTGATCCCCAAACCAGGCAAAGACCCCATCGAAAAGGAGAGTTTCAGACCCATATCCCTGATGAGTATGGATGCCAAGATTCTCAACGAGATCCTAATTAATACGATCCAACAGTACATTAAAAAGATTATCCACCATGACCAGGTGGGATTTATCCATGGGATGCAGGGGTAGTTCAACATTTGCAAATCAATCAGTGTGATAGAACAAATCAATAAGAGAGGAGAGAAAAACCACATGGTCCTCTCAATTGATGCAGAAAAAGCATTTGACAAGATTCGGCATCCGTTCCTAATTAAAACGTTTCAAAGTATAGGGATAGAGGGAACATTCCTCAACTTCGTAAAATCTATCTATGGGAAACACACAGCAAATATCAACCTCAATGGGAGAAAAGCTGACACCCGTCTCTCTACTTCTTGACCCAAACTTGGTTTTTCTTTCTTTCTTTTTTCCCCCCGAAATTGGTTTTTCTTGTCTTTTTGATGACAACCATTCTAACAGGTGTGAGGCTGAATCTCATTGTGGTTTTGATTTGCATTTCCCTGATGATTAATGATGGTAAGCATCTTTCATGTACTTGTTGGTTATCTGTAGGTCTTCTCTGGAAAAATGTCTATTCCAATCTTCAGCCCATTTTTTTTAAAGATTTTATTCATTTATTATTATTTTTTTTCTCATTAAACTTTTGTTTTAATAGGTCTCAAAATTCTGTGACAGATTTTTGGTCAAGTTGTTTCCATTAAAAAGTACTGATTTTAAACACTAATATCTTAAAACTGCCACACACACACAAAAAAAACAAATGGTCCACAAAACATTCTCCTTTCCTTCTGAAGGTTTTACGAGGCACTGTTATCATTAACCAGTCTTTTACTATTAAACTTATGGCCAACTGACACAAACAGTTCTGAGACCATCCTTCCACCACTGATTAAGAGTGGGGTGGCAGGTATTGGGAATAATATTCATTTAGCCTTCTGAGCTTGCTGGGCAGACTTGGTGACCTTGCCAGCTCCAGCTGCCTTCTTGTCCAGTGCTTTGATGACACCCACAGCAACTGTCTGTCTCATGTCACGAACAGCAAAACGGCCCAGAGGAGGATAGTCAGAGAAGCTCTCAACACACATGGGCTTGCCAGGAACCATATCAACAATGGCAGCGTCACCAGATTTCAAGAACTTGGGACCATCTTCCAGCTTTTTTCCACAACGACGATCTATCTTCTCCTTCAGCTCAGCAAACTTGCAAGCAATGTGAGCTGTGTGACAATCCAGCACAGGTGCATATCCAGCACTAATTTGGCCTGGATGGTTCAGGATAATCACCTGAGCTGTGAAGCCAGCTGCTTCCATTGGTGGGTCATTTTTGTTGTCACCAGCCACATTGCCACAACGAACATCTTTGACAGATACGTTCTTGATATTGAAGCCCACATTGTCCCCAGGAAGAGCCTCACTCAAAGTTTCATGGTGCATTTCAACAAACTTGACTTCAGTTGTAACATTGACTGGAGCAAAGGTGACCACCATGCCAGGCTTAAGAACACCAGTCTCCACTCGGCCCACAGGGACAGTACCAGTCTCACCAATTTTGTAGACATCCTGGAGAGGCAGACGCAAGGGCTTGTCAGTTGGGTGAGTTGGTGGCAGAATGCAATCCAGAGTTTCAAGCAGTGTGGTTCCACTGGCATTCCCATCCTTACGGGTGACTTTCCATCCCTTGAACCAAGGCATGTTAGCACTTGGCTCCAACATGTTGTCACCATTCCAACCAGAAATTGGCACAAATGCTAGTGTGTTGGGATTGTAGCCAATTTTCTTAATGTAGGTGCTGACATCCTTAATGATTTCGTCATATCTCTTCTGGCTGTAGGGTGGCTCAGTGGAATCCATTTTGTTAACACCAACAATTAGTTGTTTTACACCCAGTGTGTAAGCCAGAAGGGCATGCTCACGGGTCTGCCCGTTCTTGGAGATACCGGCTTCAAATTCACCAACACCAGCAGCAACAATCAGGACAGCACAGTCAGCCTGAGATGTGCCTGTAATCATGTTTTTGATAAAGTCTCTGTGCCCTGGAGCATCAGTGATGGTCACATAATACTTGCTGGTCTCGAATTTCCACAGGGAGTTATCAATGGTGATACCATGTTCACGTTCAGCTTTCAGTTTATCCAAGACCCAGGCATACTTGAAGGAGCCTTGTCCCATCTCAGCAGCCTCCTTCTCGAATTTTTCGATAGTTCTTTTGTCGATCCCACCACATTTGTAGATCAGATGACCAGTAGTGGTAGACTTGCCCAAATCTACGTGTCCGATGACAACAATGTTGATATGAGTCTTTTCCTTCCCCATTCTGGTTTAGGTTGAGTGGTGGTTTTCAAGACACCTGTGTTCTGGCAGCAAACCCGTTGCGAAAAAGCTATTTTTTTTTTTTTTTATTTGACAGACAGAGATCACGTGTAGGCAGAGAGGCAAGCGGCCTGGCAGGGACAGGCTCCCTGCTGAGCAGAGAGCCCCATGTGGGGCAGGATCCTAGGATGCTGGGATCATGACCTGTGCTGAAGGGAGAGGCTTAACCGACTGAGCCACCTGGGCAACCCCCATTTTTAAATCAGATTGTTTGGTTTTTATGCCATTAAGTCATATGAGTTCATTAGCTATTTTGGATATTACCCTTTATCAGGTACATGATCTGCAAATATTTTCTCCCATTCACTAGATTGCCTTTTCGTTTTGTTGATAGATTTCTTGGCCGTGTAGAAGCTTTTAGTTGGATGTAGCCCCACTTGTTTATTTTTGGTCTGGCTTTTGCTTTTGGTGTCAAATTTTTAAAAAAAGAAAGAAAGAAAGAAAGAAAGAGAAAAGAAAAGAAAATTGCGAAGACCTATTGTCAAGGATTCTACAGCCTGAATGTTTTTCTAGTAGTTTTATGGTTTCAGGTCTTACGTCCAAGTCTTTAACCCATTTTGAGTTAATTCTTGTGTGTAGTGTAAGAGAGTGGCCCAGTTTCACTCTTTTGCAGGTGGATGTGCAATTTTCCTAACACCGTTTTTGAAGGGACCACCCTCTTCCCACCCTTTCCCATTACGTATTCTTGGCTCGTCTTCCAGAAGCTGACTGACCACGTGTGTGCATCTATCTCTGGGCTCTGGGCTCGGCTCCACTCGTCCACGGGACCGTTTTTAAGTCCATCCCGGCTGTTTCAATGACTGCACCTTTGTGATGTAGTCGGAGCCCAGAAGAACCAGAAAGCATAAACCTGTGGCTCTGTTCTTTCTCAAGATCGCTCTGGCTCTTTGCGTCCTTTGGCGGTTCCAGACGCATTCGGTAATTTTCCCCTATTTCTGTGGAAATCGCCGTTGGAATTTTGGTGGAGATTGCGTGGAATCTGGGGCTTGCTCCGGGTAAAGGGCGGCCTTGAAATTCCGCGGGGAACTAGTGGTTTGTGTAACAAACGGTGCTGCCACAACGAGCTCCCCGCCCGTCGAGAACAAACCCCTGGTTCCTACACACAGAAGGAGACATTCCGGATGGATGGAAATTTGCAATTAGTGAAGGAAGAAGACGTGAGAACTACGGGCGCGGGGATGCCGCCGCTTTCCGGCCCCGAACCTCTGGTGGGCGGTGTCTGGCATTCCGCCTCCCGCATTGGGTCCCACGGCCTACGTCACGGGGATCTCAGCCAATGAGGACCGCGCACGGACAGCGCACTCAGCCAATGGGGCCAGGGCGGGAGATTTGAAAGGGCCTCAGAAGGGGCCCGGCCCGGCAGGTTCAGTCGTTTGCCCGCGGCCCGGGGGTGGCTGTGCCACGGGCGCCAGGTGAGCTGGCGGCCTTTCGCGGGTCTTGCGCTGGGAGAGGGCAGGTGATCAGGCAAGTCGGGGGTCCGTTGGGCGGCCCGCGCGCACCCGCCGGGCTCCTGGGAGCTCAAGGGTAGAGGGAGGGTCCTGAGAGGGGGCTGTGCAGGAGCAGGGCGGGGCGGCGAGACGAGCGCCGGGCGGGCGGGGAAGAGCCTGCGAGTTGGGCAGCCCCCTTTCCCCAGCCCCCGAGCCGCGCTTCCGCCCCGATCGGTCCGACCCCTCCCTCTCTCGCTCCCTCTTTCCTTCCTGCTTCTGACAGTCCGTCTCCCTCGTCTGCCCAGCTCTCCAACCCCCTTCCTTCCGAGGATGGCGCAGAAGGAGAACGCCTACCCCTGGCCCTACGGCCGGCAGACGGTAAGGACTTGCCCACCTCCCCTCCCCCCGCCCGCAGGGAGAGTTCCTGCCTGGGGACTTGAGGTCGTGCGGAGGACGACCCTCCGAGTCCTCCCCGCTTTGCTCCAAGGAGTGGGTCCCAAGACTTTGCTGGCGGAACCCGGTCTGGGCATTTGCAACTACACCCAGTCGGGTGCCGCCAGCTTGAATCTGATCAGCCTGCGAGGAGCTCTGCAGGGTTGAGCCTACTTGTTACCTACACACATGGTATCTGGGACTGAGCAGGCGGGTTTGCCCGGGGGGCCATGACCCCCAGTAGGCTAGACGGGAAGTAGAGAGAGACTCTGAACGGGTTTTTTATAAGTTTAAAAGATTCAGGATATGTTAAATTAATAATTTGGAATCTGTTTTAGCGACTGGTGTGAGATCAGAATCTAAGATTTTATTTATTTATTTGTCAGAGACAGAGGGAGAGAGCGTGAGCTAGCACAGGCAGACAGAGGCAGAGGGAGAAGCAGGCTCCGTGCCGAGCAAGGAGCCCAATGTGGGACTCGATCCCAGGACGCTGGGATCATGACCTGAGCCGAAGGCAGCCGCTTAACCAACTGAGCCACCCAGGCGTCCCGTGAGAGCAGAATCTAAATAGATTTGTTTTCCAGTTGTCCTAAGACCTTTTACTGGACAGTCTGCTTTCTGATTTGAAATGCCACCTTTATTACATAAAATGCCCACCTCTATGTGGATGTGTTTCTGGACTCTTATTTGTCCCACTTGCTTACTTGTAAATTCTGTACTGATATCACCGCTTGGGAATGGGTTTTTAGGGCATGAGGCTTTCTTCTCTAGGCTAAGAAGAATGAAGGAGCTCTCATAGGCTTTGCTCCCTTTGGTGGGGCTTGGGTATCCTGAAGGGTCCAACTGTCCCCTTGTCCACCAGCTCCCGCCCTCATGCAGCACTTAGCGAGGCTGGCAAGAACAGAGTCTGGAAGAGAAACCACGGTTACTTCTTCGACACAACTTCGAAAGGTTGTGTATATTACTCTGAAACGCTGCAAGAGAGAAATAGTGCAGGGCCATCAGAGTAGCCCTTGGTGTCTCCAAAGCCGGTGATTGCAAAGGGGTGAACACTGGAATTTGTTGCAACCTTCAAGACCTCCAGGGCCTTATCTAAACCTTAATATACTGAGTTTTATTTTTTTCTAATTAAAAAAAAAATCTTTGAAGATTTTATTTTTAAGTAATCTCTACACTCAACACAGGGCTCAAACTCACAGCCCTGAGATCAAGAGTTGCATGTTCTACTGGCTGAGCCAACCAGGTGCCTCTAGACTGAATTTTAGGGGCTGTGAGAATGTTTCTGCTAGAATTGTGGGGGGGGGTTGTTGTTGAAGATTTTATTTATTTGACAGAGAGAGAGCGCGAGAGAGGGAGAAGCAGGCCTCCCCCTGAGCAGGAAGTCCGATGGGGGTGGTGGGGCTCAATCCCAAAACTCAGGGATCATTACCTGAGCCAAGGGCAGGCTTAACAACTGAGCCAACCAGGCGCCCCTTGTTTTTTTTTTTTTAACCTGACCCTCTACTCCCCACCAGGGTGGGGTAGGTCAGGGGGAATGAATGTGGGGTTGCAGATGGTACTGTAGAGGTTAGAGGGTTTCATGCATGAAAATGTGGTGCGGCCAGGGCCAAGGAGGTGAAATGTTCAATGTTGGGGTGAGTCCTCTGCTCCTTATCTTGGGCTAAACTAGGTCGCTTATGAAGAACCCATTTTAATACGGAGCAAAGAGCAGGGCCTTGGGCTGAGTAACAAAACCATGGTCTCAGTGTTCCTCCTGGAACAGGGGGTGGCTGGTTGGCTGGCTGGCCGGCTGGGTGGGCCGACAGCGAGTACTGAAATGCTGCTTCTAGCACATTCCAACCCGCTCCCCGGGACAAAGCCTCCCTCAGAGGTTCCCGCTGCTCCTTCTCAGACTCAGGCTGGCCTGAACACCCTGCCCCAGCGAGCCCTCCGGAAGGACCCTGCCACACCGTCTGCACTTGTCCTCATGAGCCGCTCCAACACCCAGCCCACAGGTAATGCGGACGCGGGGGGGCGGGGGTACTGAGCTGAGTGGACTAGGGTCTATGGGGAGGGCTCCAGGAGGAAAACGTCAAGGAGGGGGCCCTCAATTCCCCTGTTGTTTCCTTAGCTGCCCCTGGCCAGAAGGTGGTGGAGAACAGCAGTGGGACCCCCAACTTCCCAACGTGAGTACCCAAGCCTTGTAGTGGCAGTTAGAGCAGGGGGCAGAGCAAACACAGAGGACAGCAGGGAGGCGGCCACTCGGGGCCGGAGCAGGGATGTAGGCAAGAAAGCCTGATCCGTCCTCACTTTCCTTGGGAAAGGAGGGGCAGGGCTGCGGGCCTGCAGGGCTGAGGGGGAGGGGGGCACGCAACCCCCTCAGGTGACCCACCAGCTGACACTCGCCTGCCTTCCCCCCACCTCTCATCAGGCGCTCCTTCACCATCGACGACTTTGAGATCGGGCGTCCTCTGGGCAAAGGCAAGTTTGGAAATGTGTACTTGGCTCGAGAGAAGAAAAGCCATTTCATCGTGGCTCTCAAGGTCCTCTTCAAGTCTCAGATAGAAAAAGAGGGCGTGGAGCACCAGCTGCGCAGGGAGATCGAAATCCAGGCCCATCTGCAGTATGAGCCCTGCCCTCCGCTGACCTCAACCCCTCTGCTCCTCCCCGGGCTCCTCTTTTACCTGCTGCCCCGTCCAGACTGCCCCATAGTGGTTCCTTGGCCCACGGAGCTCCCAGCCCTGGCCAGAGCCCTGAATCCAGAGCCCTGGTGAATCCAGGACCACCCCCTGTCATCACTGCCAGCCCCCCATCCTTGGCCTGGTCCAAATGCGACCCCACTTTACCCCACCTGGCACTGTCACCTTTCCCAGTCCCTTAGGCCAGGATGCAACCTGAGTCCTGCCCTATCTCCTCCAGGCATCCCAACATCCTTCGTCTCTACAACTATTTCTACGACCGGCGAAGGATCTACTTGATTCTGGAGTACGCCCCCCCGCGGGGAGCTCTACAAGGAGCTGCAGAAGAGCCGCACCTTCGACGAGCAGCGCACAGCCACGGTCTGGGCGTGTGGGCGCTGGGGGGCACCGGCAGGGGACCGGAGGCCGGGGGTCTGCGCCACTTGGCGCTGGAGGCCCAGGCTTGTCTGACCTCCTGTTGTTGGCACTCCCAGATCATGGAGGAGCTGGCCGATGCACTGATGTACTGCCACGGGAAGAAGGTGATTCACAGAGACATAAAGCCGGAGAACCTGCTCCTGGGGCTCCAGGGAGAGCTCAAGATCGCGGACTTCGGCTGGTCCGTGCATGCCCCGTCCCTGAGGTATGGTGGGCTTGGGCATGAATGACGGGCGCGCTCAGGGTAGCACCACTCCTGATCTTGGTCCACAGAGATGTGCAGGTTTGTCCTCATGTGCCTATAGACACAGCAATCTGTTGACAAAGATAGGAGACCCCTTATTCTGTTGCCCAGATTTCCTGGGACCCACTCACCGCGTCACTGAGAATACTCCCACTTCGCTTGTAAGGCTTCATAGTGTTATAGATGGACATTTAACCTGGTCCATTTCTTTCTTCTTTTTTAAGATTTTAGTTATTTATTTGAGAGTGGGCGAGAGAGCACAAGCGTGTGGGAGGGACAGAGGCAGCGGGAGATGCAGACTCCCCACTGAGCAGGGAGCCCAGTACAGGGCTCGATCCCAGAACCCTGGGATCATGACCTGCACCGAAGGCAGACGCCCAGCCTGATCCATTTCAGCCAGACCAGCCCAATGGCTTTTGAGACAGCCCTAGTTTAACCATTCCCAGTAATTTTAAGATGAGCGTTGCCCTTATTTTTTTTTTTTTAAGATTTTATTCATTCATTCATGAGAGGCAGAGAGAAAGGAAGAGGGAGAAGCAGGCCCCCTGGGGAGCAGGGAGCCTGTCGCAGGATCCAATCCCAACACCATGGGATCATGACCCGAGCTGAAGGCAGACGCTCAGCCGACTGAGCCACCCAGGCCCCCCTGAGCGTTGCCCTTAGATCTGATTATTTTAAGATCTATCCCTCCTGGCGGAAATCCTGGAGCGGTGTGGGATTCCACCCTGGGACTGTGGGTTCTGTCTTTACCCTACCCCTGCCCCAAAGGGCCCTGTCAGAGCCCGGTTGACACAGTCCCCTGGAGCATCCTGGGGTTACTCGGCTGCCTGGGGGGCAGCCGGGAAAAGAGAGGTGGTTTTCCACCTGGGATCACTGCCCTCCCCCCACCACCCGCCATCCCACCCAGGAGGAAGACGATGTGCGGGACATTGGACTACCTGCCCCCGGAAATGATCGAGGGCCGCACGCACAACGAGAAGGTGGATCTCTGGTGCATCGGGGTCCTCTGCTACGAGCTGCTGGTGGGAAACCCGCCCTTCGAGAGCGCTTCCCACAATGAGACCTATCGACGCATCGTCAAGGTGGGAGGGTGGCCCCCGAGTGCAGAGGCCAGGGGCTGGCAGGTGCTGGGCGCCCTGGAATTCTCCAGATGGAATGGGGGGGGTGGTCGAGGGTAACACTAAGGGAGCCCTTGTCCTTCCTCGACTTCTGCAGGTGGACCTGAAGTTCCCCGCCTCCGTGCCCTCGGGAGCCCAGGACCTCATCTCCAAGCTGCTCAGGCACAACCCCTCTGAACGGCTGCCCCTGGCCCAGGTCTCCGCGCATCCTTGGGTCCAGGCCCACTCCCGGAGGGTGCTGCCTCCCTCTGCCCTCCAGGCTGTCCCCTGACTTGCTGCTCTCGTTGATTCAGTTGTGTCTGTTTGTGTTCCTGTATACGTGGAGTCGGAAGGAGGGGCACCTGGCCTGTTCCCTTACCTGTCTTCTACCCCCTGTGTATTTAATAAAGGCTGAAGCTTTTTGTACCGATGAGTTTAGATGGTTTACGTTCAGGTGGAGACTGCTGGGGGTAGGGGGTTCCCCTGGAGGGAGAGGATAATGAGAATTGAACCTGTACCACACCCCCTTCCGCGCCCACCCTCCTTCAGCTCCCAGCTCCCCCCACCCGTCCCCCCTTGTTTCTTCCCCTGCTCGGGCGGCTGGGGTCTCCGCTCCCCTCAGCTGCGCCTCTAGTCTTTCCTTCTGGTTCCGCCTCTGCCAGCCTAGGAGCAACTGAACAGGGCCTTCCCCCAGAAGGTATCTCTGTATTACTGCTCTGCTGAGGGTCGGGCCCAGGACACAGAGAGGTTGCGGAGCCCACAGAAAGTCACACAGCTAGTAAGTGGGGAGAGCCCAGTTTTAAAGTCTGTATTCCTTAACGCTGGGCTAGGGTGGTCCTATCGATACTTTCGGGCGGCACACACATTTATTTTATGGGCATATGGATCCCAGAACTGGAACAAGATTTGTAGTTTTTACCGTTCCTGTGTAGTCCAGGGAAAAATGGTTCCTTACCAGATTAAGAAAGGGTTTGGGTTTTAGGTGCCCTCACTAGATGTCAATTTTCTTCAAAGGCTTTCTCTTCATCTATTGGTTATTTGTTCGTTGAATCAATGTGAGGTATGGGAATATATTTTCTTTTTTAGACCTCGTGCAGTTTTTTTTTTTTTAAGCTTTTATTTTTTTAAAGATTTTATTTATTTATTTGACAGACAGAGATCACAAGTAGGCAGAGAGGCAGGCAGAGAGAGAGGAGGAAGCAGGTTCCCCGCGGAACAGAGAGCCCTCTGTGGGGCTCCATCCCAGGACTCTGGGATCATGACATGAGCCGAAGGCAGAGGCTTTAACCCACTGAGCCACCCAGGCGCCCCTTGTTATCTTTTTTTAATAAATGTTCTTATTTTTCTTTGATCTTCGTTACTGATGTGCCACCGCCATTCCTAGAGCTGCAGTAACAAATTACCTATAATAACAAATAACAAATAACAAAATACTAAGGTGATTTAAAACAGGAAATTGACTGGTCCAGAATCAGATGGACCACAGTGCCCCACCCCCATCAGGGGCTCTGGGAGCATTGTGGGGGTGGGGATGGGAAATCCTCCCTTCTTCCAGCTTTGGGTGGCTCCAGGCATTTCTGGGTATGAGGCTGCCCTACTCCCATCTCTGCTTCGGCTTCATGCTGTTCCCCTTTTCTCTCTCTGCTTCCTCTGTGACTTAGTCATTTGATTTAGGACCCACCCAGATAATCCGGGACGATCTTGTCTCAAAATCTGCAGACTCCTCTCCAGATGGGGTAAAAAGACTCTTACCCATGGGGTAAAACGAATGATGTTGTAAGAATTTTTTTTTTTTTTTTTAAACCCCGGTTTTCTCTCCCTTTTCTTCTCTGCCAACCCCCTCCCTTCAGCCAATGAAATCCACTGGGTCCCAGCCCCACCCCACCCCCTTACTGACAAACTCCACTGCTCTCACGCTGATTCAGGCCACCAGCCTCCTAAGTGTTCTCCCTGCTTCTATTCCTGGTCCATCCTCCACTCCGAACTCATTCTGTGGCAAGGTCCTCTCCCACTTTTCAACCCTGGTACACTAAAGAATCACGAAGAAAATAGAACTCTCAGACTAAAATTCCGACTTAATCAGCTTGAGACCCAGGCATCTATCTGAGTCTAGAAATTATGCCCCTCTCTACCTGGAGCTCAGCTGCTCTAACCCCTTCCATCACTAAAGCATGAACTCCTTGCTGTTCCTTGAACACTGCCAAATTCGTTTCTACCTCTGGGCCTTTGCACTTGCTCTTCCCTCTGTCTAGATTGGCACCTGCAGCCTCCTTTCAGTCATGGGAAAAATCAGGGGTTCTGCATTATGACCTTTGGTCAGTAACCTGTGCTTGACCCCTCAGGAGACGTTTCTGAGAGGCATTATCTCCTTGCTCATGAAAATTCCATGTATTCTAGCAAGAGCCACCCCCTTAATTAAATAATGTGATGGTATGTCATTATTCCATATCCCACAGAAACCCTACATTCCACCCCACATCCTCCCGAAAGCCTGTCCGCATTTCTGTGGGTGCTGTGGGCACTGGCAAGATGCAAGAGGGGGTCTGCTCTCCTCATTGTGGCCTGTGGAGGATAGAGCTTTAGCTTCTGTCTGGCACCCCTGAGTTCTAGTCTTTTCTCCACTGTTCATTAGCCATATGACCTTGACCAGGTGGCTTAATCTTTATGAGTCCTTGAAGATGGAAATAATCCTATCTTGCCTCTAACATAGGCTGTTCTTGGGATGCCTGGGTGGCTCAGTGGGTTAAGACTTCTGCCTTCGGCTCCGGTCATGTCCTGGGATCTAGCCCCGCATCGGGCTTTCTGCTCTGCGGGGAGCCTGCTTCCTCCTCTCTCTCTCTCTCTCTCTCTGCCTGCCTCTCTGCCTACTTGTGATCTCTGTCTGTCAAATAAATAAATAAAATCTTAAAAAAATTGTCTGTTTTCAAATGTAGTAATGTGCATGGTATAAATAGCATTAAAAAGTCTACTCTCAGGCACCTGTGTGGCTCAGCCGGTTAAGTGTCTGCCTTTGGCTCAGGTCTTGATGCTGGGGTCCTGGGATCGAAACCCTCATCAGGCTCCCTGATACTTGGTGGGAGTCTCTCCTTCTGCTCCTACTCTCACTCTTTCTCTCGAATAAATAAAAAAATTTTTTTTAATGTGATCAAAATTATTTTTTTAATGTAAGGGATGAAATCATTGTGTCTTTTCTGTTTGTTTGTTTGTTTGTTTTTAATTTTTGTTTTGGTCCAAATCGCTGGTCTCTTATACTTGTACCAATTATATAAATTGATCCCAAATGCCACCCTTTTCTTCATATATCAAATTTCCATATACAGGCATTGGGTAGTTTGCAACAAAAAAATATGTGTGGAGTAGTGGGGGAAAACATGGGCTTTTCAAAACACATTTGTCTAGGCAGACCTGGCTGACTCGGTTGGACCGGCGACTGACTCCTGATTTCAGCTCAGATCATGATCTCAGGTTTGGGAGATCGAGGCCCACGACAGGTTCTGCGCTGGGCATGACTGTTTGAGGTTCTCTCTCTCCCTCTACCCCTCCTCCCCAGGCCCCTGCTCGCACACTCTCTCTCAAAAAAATATATAAAAAATAATATAAATTAAAAAATAAAATAATGTGTCTAAATAAATAAATATAAAAAGACATTTGTCCCTGATTGCAGCAAAAGTCATCTCTATTTCCCTACTATTGGGTAATATGAGTCTCCTTCACCCAAATCTGCTTCTAAAGTTCTAAAAAGAGTATTCCAAAGCCTCATGAACAGAGCGTGCATATGCATGGAAACATGAGCCGTGCATCAGAGAACCCCAGTGATCTGCGGCCACTGACAGGGATAGGCAAACAGGAGTAAGGAGCCCTTCCTGGGGTGGGCTCCCACTTCCAGCAGCCTAGAGAGCAAGACATAGCAAACTATCTGGGGGGTAAATCATGAAGTTTCTGCCAAAAACAACCAGAGACAGTTTAGATGCATGAACATAAACTGTATTCCAGTAAAACTTATGGATACTGAAATCTGAATTTTGTATAATTATATGAAATTTCATATCCTTTCTTTTTCAACCATTTAAACCTGTAAAAACCATTCTCAGCTCACAAGCCATAAAAAAGGGGTAGGGAGCTGGATCTGGCCCACCGGCCATACTTGGCTGACCCCTAACATAGGACAAGCCCCCTGCGCCTCCCCCACCGTGTTACAGCTAACGGGGTCTGGAGGGAACTGACCCACCCCTAGATCCAGGAGGACCATATTGTTTTAACCTAATAAGTTGATTCTTGTCATCTTGCCAGTGACTGCTTCCAGATACACAGTCCTTTTTTTAATATTTTATTTATTTATTTGAGAGAGAGAAAGAGTGAGCAAGCACGAGCAGGGGGAGGGGCAGGGGCAGAGGCAGAGGGAGACACAGACTCCCCACATGCCCCTAAGGATGCGGGGCGATGGCAGGACCTTGAGATCATGACCTGAAGATGCTTAACTGACTAAGCCCCCCGGGTGTCCCTAAGTCAATCAGACATGGTATTACCCAATGTGACTAAATTGTGCATGTGAACCAGTTTAGGCCAATAAGATGTAAAGGGAAATTAACTGAGGCTTTGGGGAAAGATGCGTCTTTGTTCTTCTATGAGGTCTAATGGAAGCTATTCCTTTCCTCCTTCTGGAAGACGAGGGAGCATGTCATTAAGGGGTCCTTGTTGCATGAGACAGAATAATTTGGACTCCCTTAAGCACAAGTGGACGTTATTATGAGCATCCTGGGTGACTCACGGACTCTGGAGGAGCACCAGGAATCTCTAGAAGGACCAGGCCGCCCGGCGAGGGAAAATTCCACTGCAGAAGCAAACCAGGGTAGAGCAAGAGCCATGGGCCAGGGAAGCTGGAAGAGGGGTTGCTCGGTAGTTCAGCTTCCAGAGTGGGAAGTGGGCTCTGCCTGATGAGGTGGGAGTGTCTTTAAACACGGAGTCAGATCTCCGGAGATAAAAAAGGGATGATGGGAGACACCATTATGGACTGAAGGTTCTTGAGCCTCCAAAAGTCAAATGCTGACACATTAGCCCCCATTGTGATGGTATTTGGAGGTGGGGCCTTTGGAGGTAATCAGGTTTCCTCAAGCTGAAGTCCTTATGGTAGGATTAGTTCCTTCTAAGAGGAGGCTGAGGGCGGGCTTTGTATGCACGGTGTGAGGACACATGGAGAAGACAGGAAGAGGAGTCTCACCAGGAACCAAATCAACAGTCATCCTGGGCCTCCCAGACTCCAGAAGTGTTGAGACATAAATATCTCTTGTGTTTATGGTGTTCTGTTATAGCAGCCCAAGGAGACTAATGCAACCCCCAGAGAATGACAAACAGCAGCCATTTTGCCACCATGAGGAAGTGCATTTGGGATATAGTGACCCCCCCCCCCCCCCCCCCCCCCCCAGAAACCAGGTC